ACATTCATACAACAACAACAACAACAACCCAGTTAAATCCCACAAGAGTAGGGTCTGGGGAGGGTGTGTGTACGCAGACCTTGCCCCTACTCGAAAGTAGAGAGGCTGTTTCCAAAGAGACCCCCGGCTCAACATCGAAAGTTGCAGTGTTTGACTAACTGCTACTTCATTAATTAAAGAAGCGCAGATAGTTTAGAGATCCATTTTGATTTATTCCATCACCCCAAAGCCAAAAATGGTGAAATTTTGACTCCATCGGAGATGATGGAAAACCACACAACATTCATATAAGGTGGTAAATTATACTGAGTTTGAATATGTGTTGTTCATGCTTGTCCCTTGATACTGCCTAGATAACTTCTTTTCCTTTCCCACTTATGTCCCAAATCTTTTGAGGAACCAACTTATCACAAGTTGTGTATGTCAGTATTCTACCAGATCTTCACTACCCTCAGACCCTCGCACACCCCTCCTAATCAAAATTGAGGGTTCCTGCTGTCACACTTTGAGCATTAAAATTTGGGTAAATGCCACTGACCGGCCTGCCGTGCTAAATCCCCCTATTCCTTGTGTATGAACTTGTGATATTTTCTGTACTATTGGTGTACATTGTACAATATGCGGGTCTGAGTGTGTGATTCCACGCGAATGATAACACACCAATAGATACAATCATCTAATATCGGATTATATTTCTATGTTCTTGCATTTATAAATATTGCTTCGGGTATCTTCTGAGTGGTAGCTTGGAAACAACACATGCTAAAAACCTATATCTCCATCTCTAAACAGAAACTAAGTGCACCCAAATGTAATCCTGTCATGCATAGACATTCAAAGGGGTAAGTTGATGCATCTTCTTTCGATCACTGAACAATAATAAAGAAAAACAAATAATACCAGATTAAGACTGTTGTCAGCAACAAATAAAACTCCCTTGGGACATTCGATTGAACAAACTGGAGTAGCATGTGTGGAAGGCTGAAAGGAGATGGATGTGTATGAAATGCTATGCCTTGCAGTTTGTAATAGCCAGGGCTTATCACTTAGAGCAATTAAATCAGTATCAAGAGAGTCACTTAATGGGACCAAACAAGCTGGATTAATGCCTATGCGACGATATGCAATTAGTTGGAGATGGGCAGGAATAGTGTCCTTTGTCTTGTCAGATGAAGTGGAAGCAGTTGGCATGGCCCTACAATTTACAGATGAAAGCAATGGTGCAGTGGTAGAATTTGCCAAATGTGAGCTGCTGAAATGCTGCACACAAGATGCTTGAAGGGCAGAAACATTTGAGGTACAAGGCCACTCAAACCTGAGTAGCATACCATTCCTCAATCCTGAAAGAATATATGGGCGATCAACAAGTACAAGCCTTACGTCTTGAGGAATACAGTCGGTTATGGTAGTTCCAAGAGTGTTTGTTAGTGATATGGATCCTATAGCAATGACTTGAAGGCCTTTATCAAGCGAGAAGGAAAGTACCTCCACAGAAGGCTTGTGTGTGCCAATAATAAAGGGACTACTGATGACACACTCTGCTGGAAGAGCAACTACAGGGACACTATCTGTGCTGCTCATTTCGGACACAAATCGTTGTTGCTCAAACTGTTTCTGAGGGATGGAAATGCAGGACAGCTCATCCTGCAATCTTATGTGTTGCAACTGGTACACTTCGTGCTGATATGCTGACAATGATTTGAAACCAAGTACATATAAATAGCATGGACTGGAAGTTGCGACAACTATCACATTATGTCCAACTGCTCCCAAACTAATGGTTGTATCATTAGGTGACCATGATGTTCCGCTGGGAAAAGTTTCAGTAACACCTTCACAATGTGAAGATGCAACAGGCACACACAGTCTAACAGCATGTCGGTGTATTTGCACCAGCAAACCATCAGCTATCAGACCACATGCCAAGGTGCAGACGTCAGGCTGGAAACCAACAGCATCAGTTACATCAGAAAAGCTTACCCCAACTGAAAGTACTCTGGTTTCTTCAACAAATGACAACACAAGGAAGGAATGATAGATATCAGTGACTTTCATTTTGACAGTCCAAGTGCCAGTTATGCATTGATAAATAGGAGATGTTTTCAATAACTTCTCCACACCGATACCACTTCGAATGATTCGCAATGATCCTTCGGGTGCCATCCCACAGCATGCAAACATTTGATCGTGTTTCTCATTATGGTAGTCCACAACAGACATATCCAGTATTGGTGCGATGTTTTGTATTGAACTTCTGAAATCTAACCTTCCATCTTCCAATTTTAGAACCATCCCGTCACCCATTTCAACTATAGCTGCTATAAAATCAGTTTCCATCCACAATAACACCTTGGTTGGTATGCCTTTGTAAAGACAATCAGATACGTTCATTTTGATGCCATCAGAATCAGAAAAAATATCAATCATAAAAACTTGTCCTGAATTAGCACAAAAAATCATCTTGGGGTTGTTTTTACGTGAGGAGTCCCAACTCCATGAGCATACATAATTACAGCCCTGTTTGGTGAAGCTTTCATCATCAATATTCATCGGATCACTTTTGTTTATGTCACTGAGCTCCAATAATGCAGAGGCAGCAACATTATACATGCCTTCTTCGTCAATAATATCAGGAATCCTGATTGTAGGTTCGACAAAATTTTGCTCTTCAACTAGAGGAGTAGAATTTATACTTATTCTATATAAAAAATGAGGATTGCAAGTATCTCTGCAATCCATTAAGATGATATCTCCATCCCTGAGCAGGATCACTAGTCCAAAAGAGTAAGGAGCTTCAACTATATGATGTGTAAACGGTGCACGTTCGACATACTGATATATCACATGAAGCAAATCCTGCTTAACTTCCCATTCTATCAACATGAGTTCACTCCTATATGATCTCTCCCTGAGGTTGAAGTATATAAGTCATTGCTCTTGTTAACATTGGGAAACTTTATCAACAAAACAGATATTACAGCAAAAAAAAAAAACAGAAAAGTGGAAAACACATTTTTTTGAAATAGAGAAGTTTTACATATATGCATTTGGAAAACACTTCTCTGTACAATCATCAACAATAGTCATACCTATTCAGAAGAATTGCTAACACAGGGTTGTGCTCCCTACTTGGCTGGTCTATATCTTTTGAGATAAAGCACATGCTCCATATGGTACCACAGATATCAGTAAAACCATTTACAGCCTTGATGTGCTCTTGATTGTCAGGAGGACAGCTGATTTTCTAATACCAATTAGCGGCAGTACGTTAGTAACATGAATAGCTTTGCCCAGTTCGGAAAGGTAGAAAAGCACATTGGAAAGGTACATTTAGAAACTTCACCTTGTCAATAATATCATTGCCGCCAGAGGTTGAGACAGAGAGAAGAGCTAATCTGTTTTTAAACGCGCTAGCAGCAATGAAACAGCCACTGCATAGAGCAAAGTAATAAACCTACATAAATAAACATCCTACAGAATCTAAGTCATAACCCAATAACCGACAGGTAGTGTTTACAACGACTCAACTGGTAACACATCTTAGTCAATGACAGCACTTACTTTGAATCAATAGCTAACATCCTTCCAATTTGACTCACTGAATTTCCAAGGCAAGAGAGCTGAACATGTGATAATGGGAAAAACCTATATCAACAATGAAGTCCTTTAAAAGTAAGATTTAATGGAAATGACTAGACTCTAGGCCAAACATTGACACTATAAGTCAGTGCCGATGTAAAGTATCTTAGCAGGTTTAGTAAATCATGAATAACAAATCTAAATAAAATAGAGTGCCCAATACAAACGTATTCAGTCAAAAACAAAATAAAACAAAAACCTGTGCATTTCATTGCAAAATGAAAGAAATGATAGCTTCCCCGAGTCAGAACTAACAACCAGAATATCCTTTCCATGAACCTACATCGTAATGAATAACTGAGTGGTTCCCAAACAAGTAAAGAAGTAAATCTGAGTGACGAAAGAAAATTATTAGAAAAATAACTAAAAACCTGTGAGTTTCGAGAATGATACCGATCATTCCAAGGAAGAATAGCAAGGTCTCTTATAGCGCCAAACACTGGCTGCTCGCATATAGATTGTACAACTCCGTTATCATCTATGATCACCAGCTCCAAAGATGTCTCCTGAATATAATGCATAGCATACATCAGCTATTCGGTTAATATCTTCAACTAGCGCTCTTAGAAAGGACAACAATCAGTACATATAGTATCCAATGATTTTGTGTACCCCTAATCAGAAGCACTTTGACCTTCTTTTGACAACAGAAACCCAAGATAGAAATGAAAGATTGAGATTAAGCAATCGCACTATGACAAATAAAATGAGGGACAAAAACTAAGACCTTGCCGAAAACTAGGTCGTCAGAAGAAGGGGAGCGGATGTGACCATGAACGACTTGGAGAACAACGCTCCCTCTTAGCACCGTCTTCGCCAGATAACATCCGCCGTTCATGGCTGCTGACTGTGACTTGCAGGTACTCGCCGAGGCCGACGCCGACGACGATGACTCCTCCTCTGAAACCGCCATCTTCGATCATGTACAGCAGAGATTGTGTTCCGATCTCAAACCACCATTCAATCGACAGCTGATCAAATCCAACTGGAGAGCTAGGGTTTTGTCTGCTTCTATGATTCTACTCTCGTCCCTAAGGTTGCGTTAGAAGAGTGGATAAGTTCTTCGGTGTGTATTTACTCCCTCGCCTAACACTGCAGTAGCAGTAGATGTGCAAGTGGCGAGTTTACAGGTTATTCCGTTCCAGAAGCCATGATTGATCTACAAGAAATGAGGTTATTTATGGTTTGTTTGGAAGAGATTGAGAGTGAAAGAAAATATGAAGATGTCATGAAAAGATTCAAATTTCTCCATTATCCCAAATATCTAAATAATAAAATTTCCATTTGTTTTGAGGATGAGCATTGCAGTAATCTCTATCCTGAAATATCAGTTAGGTATGATCCGGGATGGTTCGATTTTGATTTCAGTAATATTGAGATGTATATGTATACATACCAAGTTTGCACTTTGGAATGTACAAAAGTTTTTATTTTAAAAAAACTGAAAGTACATTCAAATAAAGAAAACGGCTAAATAATTGAAACATGAATAATTAAATGCAAAAAAATACTTATAAAACTTAGTTTAATTTATACTTCATATTTTATAAACAAAAGAGAACGAATGATAACAAAATAATATTTCAAATATTTGTTAATTTTTTTATATTCATCTACAAAAAATTAAAATTCAAATAAATGATTATATAAACAAAAGATTATTTACAATTCATCTACACTTGAACCAACTTTTCAAAATCAATTTATTTTCAATGTTGGAATATAAAAATATTACTTTTATAACGTATTTGTATATATATGTTCGGTTCGGGATTTTTTAGGATGGGAAGTTATCTCGTACCGATCCCAAATACTGGACCGACCATTCGGTTTGATACGGTACGATTCTTTCTTGGTATTTTATCGGTTCGGCATTTTTCAGGTCAGTAATCTCTATTTTTTGGGAAATGTCTGTATCGATTCGGTAATTGTTCGCCCCTAATTAGTTTATGTATTTTTTCACCTAAGATTTTCTCAAATACCTAAATAAGTAAATTTGTTTTGGTTTATGTGTTTTCTCACCTAACATTTTCTTTCTCTCTATTTTCTCACCGTCCAAACATAGTGTTAGGGTCTCTTTGGATTTGAGTGACCAAATTTAAGAAAGAGTAAATTTATAAAATGATACTCCGTAATTAATAATTATGTGTTTTTTTAATTAGTCTTAAAAATAAACCAAGTATCGAGGTGGTACTCGTTAATTGAGAATAATGCTCAATTTAGTCTTCAGACTAATGACCGACAAAACTTATATTAATTATCTGAAATGATCCTTTCTAATTTGGTGTTTTTTTAAATTAGTCGTTTTTCAAAATAAAAAATCATTAAATATGGAAGCTAGGAATAATTTTAAATTTTATAGGATGAAAATATAATAATTAAAACTATAAATATAATTTGATAAAATTGAAAGTGAACATTTTAGATTATTTAAAATCATTTAGTAAAATATCATATAAATAAATTATTTAATAAACAGTCCCATCCGTTCTAAAATGAGACTTCTACTTCAGTTTAAAGTTAGAAAGGTCCCTGAACCGGAATAGGATCTGAGACAGATTGCCACCTTTATCTGTGGTGGTACCTCATCCTAGTGGTACCAAAACTGTTGGTTCCAAAACCTGACAGAACCGGTCATTGTTCAGGCTTAGCTCTTACCTCTCTAATGCCCCGATAGATCCCCCCAATCCCGACCCACCCTGAGTCCATGTCTCACCATATTCAATTACATCCCCAAATTTAGTTAACTTTATGCTCTAAAATTAATTAAATTTGAGAGTACAATTAAAAGGGCGAGACTTAAATCCAAGTCACGCCGAATGATGTTTTTACAAGGGGGACAATGTTAAGAACTTTTAACTTTTAAATGAAGCACCGTAAAAACTTCAATCAAACGAGTGCCATACTATTTTTGTGTCATTTCAATCGTTAGGTATACTCTGTATTTATATGTTGTATAATGCCTCATCAAATGGAGTACTTATACCATACATGGGGATGTACAACATTTTTCGTACATCTTCATAAATACTTATTTACGAGTAACATAATATTCATATTTGAGTAATTAAATACTCAATTTCGAGCGTAAATAAATTTAAAAAAAAGAGTGTTCTAAAATAAATATTTAATTACTTATAAATGAATGCTCGAATAGTTCTAAATATGTTTAAAAAGTCATACTCTGCCTTGAGACTTCCAAATCAACAGTGTCTGAAATCGATCAAAACACCCTCAATAGTTCCAAATATGTCTAAAAGTCATTCTTTGTCCAGAGTATCAATTTAGAAAAGTTTGGATTATATGTGCTTAATGTACTTTTGTGAAGATCTTGTATTAAGACCATATTATGTTTTGAAACTTCCACACCGTCAGTGTCCAAAATCGAACGAAACATCTTTACTAGTTTCAAATGTCTAAAAAATCGCACCTTTGTCCGAATACAAAAACATCATTGATAGAATTTAGGATAGGATGTGGACAACTGAATTAGACAATAAGACACTTGAGTTGAACCACATTAAAAGATTGAATCCAATCAATTAGTTAGTTCAACTCAAGAGCTTATATACCGATTATTTTCCTCACATTTTTCCAATGTGGGATACTCTTTAACACTCCTCCTCAAGTGGACAACAGGACCGTTTTGAATCTAACCGGTTGATCACTTGCAAATGAACTCTCATTCCCTTGATTCTTTTAGCGCCATGTAAAAGGAAAGAGAGCTATGGGAGAAGATATGGGAGATATTGTGTATATATTACTTTCCTTTTTAGTTGTTTCCTTGTATAGAGTTTTCCTTTATTAATTAGGATTCTCCACTATATATGTAACGGAGGGTTGTACATGGTAGACACAGAAATAATACGAGTAATTTTCCTCCTAAACAATTCTTTCATGGTATCAGAGCCAAAACTCTAGGAATTTCCGCACGATCGCCCGGCATCGCGTCCATCGATCGTNTGTAAAAGGAAAGAGAGCTATGGGAGAAGATATGGGAGATATTGTGTATATATTACTTTCCTTTTTAGTTGTTTCCTTGTATAGAGTTTTCCTTTATTAATTAGGATTCTCCACTATATATGTAACGGAGGGTTGTACATGGTAGACACAGAAATAATACGAGTAATTTTCCTCCTAAACAATTCTTTCATGGTATCAGAGCCAAAACTCTAGGAATTTCCGCACGATCGCCCGGCATCGCGTCCATCGATCGTCGCTCGTTATTGCTGCCGAGAAGACCAGAACGGTCGACCGTCTGTTCAGAACGGTCGAAGACATCGACCGTCCCGACGGCAGAATTCTCAACTGCTGCTGTTTTTGATCCAATTCTTGAATTTTCTCATCTGGTATGTCTGGAGAAGTGCCTATGAAGATTATTTCCAACAAGAAGAATGAAGATCGAGAGGAGGAGGAGGTCGGGGTGCGACGTCGTCGTATCTCTCCTTATGATCTATCTCCGAGCGACAATCCGGGTATGATTTTGACCCATGTTGTTCTCAAGGGAGATAATTATGACAAGTGGTCCAAATCTCTTCGTTTGGCTCTTCGAGCACGTAAGAAGTTTGGATTTGTTGATGGGACAATCGGGATGCCTGATCTTGAAGATGAAGATTTTGATGATTGGTGGACGAACCATTCGCTTTTGGTCTCTTGGATTCGGAACACGATTGATCCAACCCTGAGATCGAGCATATCGATCATGGAGAAAGCTTCAGATCTGTGGAATGAATTGAAGGCTCGTTTTTCTGTGGTGAACGGACCAAGGGTCCAGCAGTTGAAGCGAGATTTGGCGGAATGCAAACAGAAGAATCTTTCCATAATGGAATATTATGGAAAGATGAAGAAGTTATGGGACGATTTAGCAGATTTAGAGCAGTTCCCGGCTTGCACGTGTAGAAATTGCACGTGTGACATGCAGGAGAAACTCGCGCAGATGCGTGAAAGGGAACGCTCCCATCAATTTTTGATGGGTCTGAATGATGCTTTGTATGGGACTTTGCGGTCAAATTTGCTGGCCCAGGAAATCATACCACCAGTATCAAGAATATATAACATTCTTGTCCAAGATGA